ACTCATGCTATGGGCCCCCCAATGCCAACTCGTGTTGCTGACCCACATTTGCACAGCAGAGAGAAGGGGTCAAGCGATGTTGGGTACATGTGACGCCAAGTAAATGATCACTGGTGCTTTGTCCCTTCACAATGACGGCGATGCATCTTGCACAAGATCATGTGCTTCTGTCATTAACCTACAGTAACCAGGGGGGCCCAGTTAAATTGTTTGTGCGTCGATGACGCGACCGTATAACTGGTAAAACCGTTATGCAAATCAACGTGTTGTACACCACTACTGGTCTCAAATCATGCATTAGGAGCACAAATGTCCCACAAGTGCCACAATCTTCAGAATCTCATTTGTACAGCTGACAAACGAGAGGCTCTCACAAAACCACTATGGAGACGCCTCCGTTGAAGACAGCGAGAGAAATGCCACACAAACTCTGCAGGTTTGCACCACAAGCAGATTAAGTGCTTATACAAACAGCTACAGCAGAGGCTGTGCACAAACAGCTTCCTATGTGCAATCTTACCTGACAATGTTTCTCAACAGCCCTGTAGGAACAGATGGGATCAATAAATTAATACTCAAATTATACAAAAAAATAATGCCAAGAGCAGAAATTTAATCAGCTGGAAAAGTTGAAGTGAATGCCAAAGTGTTTGCTTGCTTAACTAAGTCATAGAAACTAACATGATGACTATAAAGTTGTACAGTGACTGTTTGTGGCTTCCATGATGTCAAGCTGAATATTCTTTTGTCATACTAGCCACGAGGATGCATGACAAACGCATTCTTTTACAGATCCATTTGTCCCAGTTTAGAAAGCCCGCATTGTACCACTGTTGCCTGCCCACAGCTCCAGAATACACACACAGTAACTGTGTGTGTGAACTAAACCAGTCTGACTTTGAACAAATTGCACTCAAGTCTTCAAATGTAAAATATGGTTACGGTTTTTTATTGTCTAATAGACGAGACAGTTTCCTTCAACAGGAAGTTTAAATGGTATTTAAAAACAAAACTCAAATTATAAGCTGGACCTCCGCTAATTTCTTTGCACGTCCAAGTCAACAAGTTCCATAAAATCAAACAAGTCTTTACATTTGTGTGAACCATCTTTTTAATATTCTATAAAGGCTCTCCATTGAAAGTAAGTCTTGGGGGAGAGGGGGTATGAAAATAAAAATACAATAAAACGTTTACAGTCGTACACACAGCTCCGAGTGAAAAGGAAAGAACATTTCTATGACATTTAAGGCATCCGCATTCCCCTATAGTGTGAGGAGCATATACCATGACAGCAGCAAATACAGCATTACACAACAAGCTACATATGCCCCCCCCCCCCCCAAAAGACTAGATTTCCATCTCGTATTCAAGCTCAAGTGCGTTTCCTGCTGCTGAACACATTCAATGCATCTGGAAACGCATCAACAAAGTGGCGAGTGTCGTTAACTGAAGTGTACCCACAGCGTGTCCCTCTCAAACACGTCGACGTGCACATGGTTTCACATCCATCTGCAAAATTTACAATTTAAAATTGTGTGCGAGCAACAAACGCTCTGGTTAGGAAACCAAAAACCAGCCAGAATATTACAATTGTGCCGATAAAAAATAAAATAAAAATGGACTCAGAAACACTGAAGCCAGACCCAGAACTAGCAGGCAGTATGCATATACGGTTTTTTAACTTTACATCCCAAGTTCCCAACTGGACTGACTGTCTACTTGTAGTTAATCTGACAAATATGTATTGTACAAAAAACACTGTAGAAAATATGACACCACCAGAGTGTCATTTACATTTGGGCAGAGGTGCGTTTACCCACAGGAAACCTGATCCCCCACTCTCTCTCCTCTCTCCTCTCTCCTCCCCCCCCCATAGTTCAGCACTCCTCTACCACGGTACCAGCCGAGGAGGAGTACAGCTTTTTCTTGACCAGCCGGAAACCCGGACTCAGTTTAAGTGCGTGCCTGAAAGTCGGGGCAAAGCAGGTCCCCATAAACAGGAAGTCCCGTAGGCTGGGCCAGGCGGTGCCGTCCTGCTTGAACACAAGAGTCAGCTCAAACGTGGGCACCACGGTGGAATCGTACACGATGCGCTCCAGCCTCTTGCAGCCCTTGTCCAGCTCCAGGTCCACGTAGAGAACACAGCCGCGCAGGCCGCAGGGCTCGCAGGACGCCAGCCGCAGGACCTCGCGGGCTATCCTCCGCGTGAGCTTCTCCGGTACCAGCACAGCGGAGCAGTGGAGCGTCGTCTTCTTGGCCCGGGACAGGCAGTTTTCAAACATCTTGGCCAGCTGCTGACAGCTCTGGTCTTCAGTGACATCTGCATTCCTCTGGGGTTCAGCCAAGCAGTGGTCCCAGAAATCCAGCTCTGGGAAAACAATGCAAGCTTAACATTTGGGGACCAATGAATCATTTAAACATACTAAGAGCCTGTCGATAAAGTGCCCTTTCACAATGCCAACATGCATAAATCACATAAGGTTTTTATTTAAAATCCTAAAATACAATGGGAGATGAGGGATTTGATCTGCTTTTACATCCCCTCTGGTTGCAGTGGGTGGATTATGAGTAAACACATGAGGAAAAAGAAGGATATACATCCCAGAGGGAGCACTAAACAGTCGAAAACCTGACGATATGAACCAAACCAATCCCAATGTGAGTTTTACAACACAATAAATCAGCTTTGGACAGAAAAAAATGCGTTTAGACTGGCTATTACACACAGGTTGCTGTTGTGAAGAGGAGCTGAAGGGATGACTTCATCCTCTGTTGACTGACTTCCCTCCCTCCCTCCCTCCCTCCCTCCCCTGCTGCAGCCATGCACCACACAGGCATCAACAACAAGTATCCAGCAACTAGCAGGCTATCTATACAGACAAGAACAAACACGGAAAAAGCTCGCGCGCCTACCTTTCTCAATGCAAGCCTGGTCATATCTTCGGTCGACCAGTTCGGAAATGCATTCGCTGCTTTTGGTCTTTAATGTGCTTGTGGCGACCATGCTGACAGTCTCGGCGTCTCCAGGAGCGGGCTGTTGTCCTGTGGTTTGAGCAAAAGCAGCCTGCAAAGCGACGTAAAGGAGCAGCGTCAGTGCGACAGTCGAAGCAGGTTGTTTTTAACTTCGTCATGATGTGAACACAGCCACTGAGAAGACAACGTAACCGCCCCCCCACTAAACAAACATAACTACTTTAGCTGTTCATTTCAAGCTAGCAGCTATTTCTTCCGATATACTAAATGACTTACCTTAAATATTATTTAGTGCAAAGATAATTTAGTTTAGACGTTTTCTCATATATAAATGCATACACTGTTTTTCTCCCACACTGACACACTCAGACACACAAACACTGCATCTGACAAAAGTTCTGAGGAATATTTATACCTTGCTCAACTCAGCTGACCCGAGGGTTTGACCAATCAGAGCACGCCTCTCGACGTGAAACCTAGCCCTTCCCTGATTGGCCGCGAAAGAGCTCTTGAAATAAATAATTGACCAATACTTGGGGGGAATATTTGTGTTGCTACTTGGACGAGGGATCGTTCTTGATGAAGTTTGGTCAGTGAAGTTTTGTATTTGCTTTGAAATCCGGATTTTTCTGGAATTAATCTGCCTCAACCCTGCTTTTTATTTCCAAACAGCTGTTGTGAAGGATTTTTAATACTGACACGATGAAAAGTGACCGAAACTTTCACACTGAAATACAGAATGACCAATCTCTTTATGATTGTATCAAAGGGGTTTTCATGAAAAGTCTTTGTGTCAGTATTCCTTGTCAATATTCAACATGGTGCATTTAGACACAAGTGACATCACCTTAGACTTTATTTCAGCCACAATTAACCTAAATATTTTGGGGATTTTGTGGAATGATGGCCAAAGAAACATTTGAATCTTGTGGTGTTGGTTTTAGTAACGTTTGGGAGTACAACCGTGCAGTCATAATAATACAGATGCACAAGCAAGAGTTCATATTCTTTGAACAGAAGAATACTAAAATAGTGGTGTTGTCAAATGCTTAGGAAATAATACATTTTCTTTTTAATCTTTGTTAAAAAGATGATGAGTTATTTCTTACTACCAAGTATTGTAGTAGATACTTATTGGGTTTTATCATAGACAGAACAAAAATCTACAGCATTTTTTAGCATTACGGCATTTTCAGTAACACATTCAAATACGGTTCTGGTGTTGAAATAAGGGGCCGAAGCATAAACACGGAGTTTGACCTCCAGCTTAGAAACCCTCACACTCCAATCCAAAAGGGGCCGGCAGCAAGCTGAAGCGTTATTAGTGGTTGCCATGTGAAAAACTACCCCAAAAGTAGAGAAGCCCAGAGATTGAAATCTATACTTTGCTTTCACATCAGACAGGCATGTAATTATGTGCAAAATAAGCAAAAAATGTTTCCCAAATGAATGTCTGAAAACAAATCAGGACAGATATGTAGCCTGTTTTACATAAGGAAAGAGGAAGCAGCTGCTTGACCAGCTTCACTTACATCTTGCTGTATTTGTATGTGTATGCCTCGGTACATTTGGCAGGTAAACACTGAGCACAGTTGTTCACCTCGTCAGCAGATTATCCCTCATCTCCACAGAAGTTTTTCTCCCAGTAACTGGATCTGCCCCTCTCACCCCCCCCCCCCCCCCCCCC